GCAGACACGCTCGGCCTTCGGACTCGAGGTCTCCTCTCAGCGGAGGCTTCCGTGCGGCACCAACGGCGGGGTCCCTCGCTCGTTCGGTGGCCGAGGGTGGCCTTCCCCTTACGCCGTCCTTGTCGCTCCCGCGGCATAGTCGCCTGTAAAGAAGGTGGCGGCAGCAAAACATGTTTCGCTCAGGGCGCTAATTACAGATGAATAAAGACAGTATGAAACGGTATCACCTGTGCGCTACCCCCTCCTCTGGGTGTCCTCGGACCTCCAATGTGGTCTTCAGTCTTCGTCTTTGCCGCCTCCTCGAGGTGGTGGAATGTGTCGCACATTAAATCGCCTACCGCAGCCGCCGATACTAAAAATTCTTAGACAAATTCACAAAAAGAAATGCTACGCGAAACGCGACGACAAAAGTCTCCGCGCTTTCGCCCGAAAATCGCAATAAGCGTCGGCACGCCCGCCCTCCGCGTCGGGAGGACACAGGACAAATTTGCCGCGCTACTTTGGCCAGGTCGAATGACCCTTGTGACGGACGGTGAAAAAACGTCACGTCACAATGTATAATAAAACACGTATATTCGGAAAAACGTTTTTTTTATAAACGGATATGCTAATTAAACGTGTAAACGTTTTACCTTCAAGTAAACGTTTTTTTGAAAGCGAATATAAACGGATTTACGTTTACATGTATCTTCGAAAAACGGAATAAAATTAGAGCCCTAATTTCGACGTGGATGACGCGGACAACATAATTATCGACGGCGTACGCTGGTACACCCGGTCTTTACGAGTTGATTTTCAAGAGAATTCCCGACGATCTCCTCTATACGGAAGACGATATGCACAAGTATAAGAGCATACTGCTGGCGACGAACGCGCATAAACACAAATACCATTCGCAGGGTCGAATATTGGCCAACAGGGGATACAAGTATAGTATAAACACGTAATCGCACCGTTGATGTCGATCGCACCCAAGAAACAAAAGAAATCTGGAAAAGGATTACCTCACGCAATAACATTGAACGACAACGCGATCGATTACGTGTACTGGGACGATCCTAACGAGCTGGTGCATCGTCTACGGTTGCTCGACGCTTCGCACCGAGCGGGCAACAACGCTCACGACGAGATACTATCGATCCTCGAGGAACTTCGCGAAACCGGTCTAAATTAAATCGCGTATCGACGAAACGAGTCAATCGAGTGATGTCAGCAAGAAACAATACATTTTTTTTTCATGTATCCTGTGTATTACGCATCGAATCATGAACAAGAGATCCGGTGAGGAGAAAAAAATGAGCTCCGAGAGACGTCATCTCGTAGAGGAATTGCACGCTCCGGCGAGAAGAAATTTTTCGCGAAGGCGCATCATAGTCCGAGGATACAACGATCTGTGGCAGGCTGATATCGTCGAGATGCGTCCGTACTCGAGCTACAACAGACGCCGTCACTACATACTTACCGTCATTAATGTGTTGAGCAAGTACGCGTGGGCCGTACCGCTCAAGAGCAAAGGCGGAAGCGAGACGGCTGACGCTATCGCTGAGATAATTCGAGAGAGTGGAAGATGTCCAAAAAATTTGCAAACGGATATGGGGAAGGAGTTTTACAACGCCGATGTGCAGAAAATCTTGAAAAAACACAACGTTAATTACTATTCCACGTATTTGACGTTGAAAGCGTCAGCCCAGCCAGCACATATTATAATATTCTTACACTGCTCTATAAATCTTCCTACGCGAATGATTTTAAATAAATATTCTAATATTATTATAAGACTTCTTCTCTGTAATTCAACTTCTAATATTCTTAATTGGATAATATTGTATACGTTTTATGAAATATTTACCGAATGTGACTTTTCAAATATTCGAAAGCCTTGTATACTGTAATATTCGAAAAATAATGATTATCACTGAATGTCGTGATATCGAGATACGAACAAGCGTGCAGTTCTGATGAACCACTCGCTCGTGGCGGACGCGTCTCGACTCGGGTGCTATAGCTATTGTATATTTTTGAAAGTGGTGCCGACTTTGACCGAACATTGAAACACATAATCATCCCGCGGTCTTGGACGACTCGTTCGGTTGTCCTGACGCGCGTCCTTGCGGCGTGACGACGCCGTAGACGCAGGCGCCCGGTTTGTTTGGAGGCGGGAGCCATCCTAGCCATCTTAATTAAGAAGAAAACAAACAAGCGCGAATGACAAACGGGCACGGATCACGAGAGATTCAGATTACTTAACTAAATAACAAAAGGTATTAAAAATTTTATATAAATAATTGTCAAAGTAAATGATAATAAAGAAGCAATACATATAATTTGTGTATAAGTATGTTTATACTTAAGTAAATAAAATGATGAAGAATATTGTTACGTCCAAGCCCCTGGAGATTGGATAGTGAATGGAGAGACAAGGATAGAAATGGG